TGCAGTTGCGGCCGCAACAGGAGAGAGTAGAGGAGTAGTCACAAGTACAGCAGTAGGTGCAGTTGCAGTTGCAGTTGCAAAAGGAGAGAGTCGAAGAGGAGTCACGGCCGCAGCAGAAGAGGGTAGAGTAGGAGTCCCGCCTGCAGCAGCAGGTGCAGTTGCAGACACAGCAGGAGAGAGTAGAGGCGTCACGGCCGCAACAGGTGTTAGAGACTATTACGAGGTCTACGAAGATTAAGGGCCTAAATATCTCAAAATCGTTGGGCCTAGTTTCTGGACAGAATCGTCGACTTCACAAGAAACGTTGTCGACACAAATTGCACCGTCAAAACTTCACCAAACTCAGATATGTTGTAGCCCTGGTCCGTGGCTACAATTCCCAATTTGAATCGTATCAAGAGGTGAAGTAAATGTCGACTTATCAATTTCGGCGCACAGGGGGGTATGCTGCCATGAGAACTTAACTCAATGATAAGAGTCTCACAATTACCACACAAAGAAGTTAGAGTAGCAATTAACCAGGTGGGAGGGAAGAGGAGGACGAGAGGGAAGGTCCCAAAAAAGTCCCCAACCAAGGAAAACCCCATAAGCACACCAAACCCTTTCCCTATAGGAACCCCACTTTTACTTTTGTCACTTTCCAACCCATGCCATCCACCTTGCCCAACTTGGCCACACTTGCCAACCTGGTTTGGCTCCTCCCAACCACTTGGCAGCATCTACAGTGATGTTGACGAATTTCCCAACCCCCAAAAGTCTATACCCCTAATGGAGTCAACCCCACAACTTCCCATAGTCAACACAACCAAATATCAAAAGCATACGAACTTCCAACGTTCGTAACTTTCTTGTTCGTGCTCCGATTGAAGTGATACTTGGTTCTTCGGAAAGCTCTTGAGCAGAGGAGTCACTTCAGATATCTGCTCAAGCCAAATAACATTCACACACAATCAGAAAAACCAAACCACATCAAACACAAATTCTTGCACACGCTCACACCACGCATGCAACGCACGAGCATATGATGGGAGGCAGACAGACGTGAATGCAAATGATAGCATCACATAATAAACTCCCCCTCTGGCTGCCTACCATCATCCCATATGCCACAATTCATGCATGCACCCTCAATGCACACTCATTCCTGCAAGTTTCATGCCCTTCCAATGCTCAGGTTCGGCCAGGCGCTTGGTAAGAATGGCAGCCGCCTGCTGATGGGTCTTCACAATCTCCAGTCGCACCTCCTTGTCCAGGAGCCTCCTCACCCAGTGCCACTTGGGCCTGATGTGCTTTGTTAGCCCATGAAGGCAGGCGTTCTTGGCAAGCTTCACTGCCGACTCATTGTCACAGAACATGATAGTTGGCTCTCTCTGACCAACAGCAATCTCCTCCAACAGACGCCTCAGCCACACTACCTCCTTTGCCCTATGATGCAGGGCCATGTACTCTGTCTCACACAAGGACTGCCCCACCTCATTCTGCTTCTTGCTACGCCAGCTCACTGCACCACCTCCAAACAGGCACACATAGCCTCCAATGCTGGTGCCATCCGCTTTCACAGAGTTGAAGCTAGCGTCAGTGTAGCAGGTCAGGAGCATCTCCCCATTGCTCAAATCAGCTGCACCCCTCTGCAGCCTCTCCCTCACAGCACTGTACTCCAAACCCACTTATGCCGTTGCACTCACATAGCGGACCAACCTCTTGGCCGCTTCCAGCTGCTCATCACTGGGGCGTGAAACCACACTGGCAAGCCTGGATGCTGCAAAGGCAATGTCAGGCCGCATGTGGTTAGCCGCATAGTTGAGCGCCCCTACCATGGAATGAAACAGCTTCCTGTCACTCTCACCCACCACCTCCTCATCAGCACAGGGCTCCACAGTGAACCCCGAAGGCAGTGGGGTGGCTGGCTTCCCTCCATCTTGCAGCCCATACTTCTCGGCCAGTCCCTCACAGTACTTCCTCTGGTGCAACCTCAACACTCCCTTGTCAATGTCCCTCTCCACATGCATCCCCAGGTAATACTTCACATCTCCCATTTTCGAGCACTTGAACTGCATCTCCAGCATCTCCTCCACACGCTCAATCATCGTAGATGACTCAGAGAAGAGCAGGATGTCGTCCACGTAAACCAGGAGCATGAGGAACTGCTCCTTCTCTTGCAGCAGGAACAGGCTGTGGTCGCACTCACTCTTCTTGAAACCCCCAGCCAGCAAGGTCTCCTCCAGCTTGTGGTACCATGCACGAGGAGCCTGCTTCAGGCCATAGATGGCCTTCTTCAGCCTGCACACTCTACCGCTCCCATCATCCAACCCCTCAAGCTGCAGCATGTACAGCTCCTCCAGAATGATCCCATTGAGGAAGGCGGTGGTAATGTCCATCTGCTTCACCTGCCATCCACGGTATGCAGCCATTGCCAATGACACTCTCAGTGTTGTCCCTTTCCCCACAGGAGCATAGAGCTCGTTGAAATCCTTCCCCTTTGTCTGCTGGAATCTCTTAGCCACAAGCCTTGACTTGTAGCGGGTCAGCTCCCCATCTGGTCCGTACTTATGCCTGAAGATCAGCTTGGAAGAAATGGCCTTCTTCCCAGGAGGCAGCTCACACAGCTCCCACGTCTCATTCTCCAGCAGAGAGTCATACTCCTCCTTCACACTCTGCTTCCACTTCTCAGCGTCGGGCCCGCTCAATGCCTCGGCTAACGTCTTGGGCTCAGGGACGGTTGCCCAGTAGCAGTGTGCTATCTCATCCTCATCACACTGCTCAGCCACACTCCCAGCCCGTACCACCTTTGGCTTGCCAAAGCTCGGATAGGTCAGCCGGTTAGGAGGGCGCACATCCCTCCTAGGACGGTCAGCCGGACGTGCGGCACCTTGCTGCTGCTGCTGCGGCGGCTGCTGCTGCTGCTGCTGCTGCTGCTCCTCCACCTCAGGTTCTCCCCCATCCTCAGTCACCCCAGAGATCTCCTCCTCTGAGACAGTGACCTGCACTTGCCTTGAAGGCCGCTGCACCTCATCGGCCTCAATGATCAGCGGTGTTGTAGGAAGCTTCTGCTGCTGCTGCTTCCACTCCTTGTAGTACAAGGACTCGAGGAACTTCACATCCCTTGACACAGTCAGCTGCTGGCTGGTCAAGTCCCAAATCAGCCAGCCCTTGTGATCCTTAGCAAGCCCCAAGTGCACACCCCATCTCCCAGAAGCTTCCAGTTTTCCCCTCTTCTCCTTAGGCACATGAAACACCACCATGCAGCCGAAGGCTCTCAGCATGTTGACTGCTGGTGCACACCCATACCACTTGGTGTAGGGGACCCACTGCTTGTCCCCCACAGTCGCCAGCACCCTGTTCTTCACAAGGGCGACCTGCCGCAGTGCAGTCACCCAAAACGGATCCGGCAGCCCTGCATGCCCAAGGAGAGTGCGAGCACCTTCCTGCAGGGTCCGGTTGAACCGCTCGGCCACGCCGTTCTGCTGAGGGTTGTAGGGCACCGTAAGCTGATGCTGGATCCCCTTCTTCTTCAGCACCGCCTCAAAATCAGCGCCAATGAATTCTCCCCCGTTGTCAGTGCGGATCACCTTCACCTTGTGTCCGCTCTCCCTTTGAGCTCTCGGCATCCACTCCTTTAAAGTAGCCGTTGCCACCTCCCCTTTGGTCTTCAAAGGGTACACCCATACCGCACGCGTGTGGTCATCCACAATGGTGAAGAAGTAGCGGCTGCCCGAGAGAGAAGGGGCCCTCGTGGGGCCCACCACGTCCATGTGCACAAGTGCAAGTGGAGCCTTGGCTGGTCCCGTGCTGCTTCTGAAGGGGAACTTGGTGAATTTAGTCTCAAGGCATGTAGGGCAGCTTCCAATCTCCTTTGCTGCCCCCTTCACCTCCAACCCCTTCAAGCTCCCATCTTTCACCAACTTCTGCAGCATCGGAATGTTAATGTGACACAACCTCTCGTGCCACGTCTCCCAATCGGCCTCACCACTCCCAGATGAAGCCTTTGCCCATGCAGCTGTCCCGTCCACACCAGCAAGCACCTCACCATGTGGCTGCTGTGGCTGCTGCACCTTCTTGACTGCATCCAGGGCCCCATCAGTTGGTGCAGTCTCCTCTCCTCCCGCAGTTGCTTTAGCCGCTGCCGCTGCCTTTGCCGTTGCTGGTGGTTTCCCATTCCAAGGGATGATGGGCAGCTGCCAGAGGTCCTTGATGCAGCTGCTCTTCTCCTCCAAGTCCCACAACAGCAACTTCCCAAGCTTCGCACGGCAGCTCGTTGGGCCGAATGTAACCTTAGCCTTGCTTTTCTGCAACCGGCGCACGGAAAGAAGGTTAGCTGACAAACCTTCAACCAACAGCACATTCCCCAGCCCCACAAGCCACCCATTGGCTCCCATGACCTTGGCATTTCCAACACCAGTCACAGGGAGCAAAGCACCTGAAGCGGCAGCCACCTGAAGCGATCAGGGCTACAACATATCTGAGTTTGGTGAAGTTTTGACAGTGCAATTTTTGTCGACAACGTTTCTTGTGAAGTCGACGATTCTGTCCAGAAACTAGGCCCAACGATTTTGAGATATTTAGGCCCCTAATCTTCGTAGACCTCGTCCTTAGTCTCTAACAGCACATTGTCAGCACCGTCTCCAACTTTGGCCAGGCGCACTTGGCCGATCGCGATGGAGCATTGGTTGAAGGCCGGAAAGTGCAACGCCTTTGTCAGGAAGTCGGCTGGCTGCTCGGTGGTTGGGATGTACCGCAGCATGAACTACCCGCACTCCACCATCTGCTACAGCCAGATGTAGCGTCACTCCATGCTTGAGGTTGCCCTTCAACCCCAAGCCCTAAGTAACCGCAATGGCCGACTTGTTGTCCACTCGGAGGATAATCGGCATCCCAGCATCGAGCACCTTGAACTCTCTGAGGAGGAAGTGATGTCGACGTCCCTCCATGCCGGCATCGACGGCCGCCACGTACTTCGAATCTGTCCACAAATGTCTTGCGTACTTGATGCGCTGGCTTGGCTAGGAGACGGCAGCCCCTCCGAAGACGAACTCGTAGCCGCCCGTGCTCGTCATGTTATGCTTGTTGCCCACATCGTCAGCGTCCACGTAGCCAACCAGCTTCAGTGACTCTGCTCCACTGCCGAACTCTAAGGCGGTGTCACGGGTGTCGGCGAGGTAGGCGAGGAAATGGTAGACCTCACGCCAATGCTCGATGCTCCTCACTGTGAGACCGCTCCCCAGCTTGCTGCAAGCAAACTCGATGCTTGGCCTCGTCGTCGCTACCGCGAACTGCAACGAGCCGACCTTCAACCAGTAATCTTCCTCCTTGCGCTCCTGCGCCTCCTCGTTGTCGAACGTCAGCTTGGCGTAGGCGTCGACGGAGATCCGCCTGGTCTGCCCCTCGTTGATGAAGTGCCTATGCAGGTTGTCGACGTACGTCTGCTGGTGCAGCTACAGCTTCCTCGCCGGCATGTCGCGTATGATCTCCAGCCCAAGGTACCTCTCGATCAGGCTGATCTCGCGCAGCCCAAAAGCAGCCTCCAATAGCTCCTTCAACTCCTTCAACATTGCAGTGCTGCTGCTGGCGGTGAGCAGGTCGTCGACGTAGACGAGCACCCAGCACGTCACTCCGTCGTCGCCGACCTTGAAGTACAGCACGTCATCGACCTGACTCTTCTTCCAGTCGGTGCCAGTTAGCACGTCGTCGAGCACCTTGTACCACAGCAGCAACGACTGCTTCAGCCCGTACAGACTCTTCAGCAGCTTGCATACCCGGCTGGTCCCGTCGTCATAGTAGTCCGGCTGGTACATGTACAGCACCCTGTCGAGCTTGCTCTGCGGGAAGGCGTTCTTCATGTCGAGCCGCATCAGGTTCAGGCCGAGGATGGCAACGATGCTGAGGAAGATCCTCAGCATGACGTAACTGCTGACCAAAACGTACGTCTTGTCGTAGTGAGCGCCGTACACCTGCGTGAAGCCCTTCACGACCAACTGTGACCATGTTGTCGATGTGGTACTTTGTCATCAGCACCCGGCGGTTCTTCATAATGTTCACACCGCGCTGGCGTTTGACCAGCTCCCACGTGCCCATGCAATTGAGGGTGCAGATCTCCTTGTCCATGGTGGCCTTTACCGCCTTGCCTTTCCAGCTCGCCAATGCCTCCTTCACCGTCATCGTCGCAATGTCCTAACGGTGATCGGGATCGGCATGCACATCGGGTTCGAGCTCCAGCAGGTTGACGTTGGCCTCGATTTCGTCGAGCAACGTGTTGAAGGCGGTTGGTGGAAGACAGGCGTAGTAGCTCAGCCATTCCGGCGGCTTCCGAGTTCGACCTGATCGTCACAGCTCCGGCTTTTCCATCGGAACCTCCACCACGTCGATGTCGATAGACTCCTCCCCTACCGACAGTTCCCCTTTATCGTCGACATCTTGGTCGTCGACAAGCTGCTTCACCAGCGTTGACCCTTTGACTGGCTGCTCCTCTCTCGTCAACCCGCTTACCGATGTTGCTTCCGTGGACAGCTCCCCTGTCGGCTTCCCCTTCAGCTTCTCCCCTGTCGGCGGCACATCTAGTGTCTCCTTCTGCACCTGCTCCCATATCTACTGCTCCCATGACGACGACGGCTGCACATTTACGGTGACTACTTCGGCCGCACGTCGACCGCCGGCGATGCCGTTGGCCGGTGCCACAGGCGACGCCTCACGATTCCCTCATCGCCGGTGGTCGACACCAGCAAATCGGTGACAAGCGGTGGAGCAACAGGAACGGGAGGAGGAAGAGAGGCCAGGACTTCCTCGACGTCTTCATCAACAGGCTCGTTGACCTCGGCGAGTAGCAGGAACGTTGCCGTCGAGGTGTCCGTCGGTGGGTGGATCTCCGTCTGCCCTGACGAAGGCCCGTACTTTACCTTCCACGCCTCCAGCGACAGTGTCTCATAGAAGACGACCTCGATCGACGTTACCACCTTGTTGTCGGTAAAGTCGAGCACCTCCCAGCCCTTGCTCTCCGGCGACACCCCCATGTGAAGTCCCCTGTGAGCCTTTGGCGCCAGTTTCCAACCGCGCTGTTGCTCAGAGACCATGAACTGCACCATGCAGCCCCACACTCGTGCCAGCGTGAGATCGGGCTTGTGGTACGATGTCGTCCCCGGCGGTGTTGTCAACCGCTCCAAGGAGTTCCGCACCCAGACGGTTTGTCGCAGGGCTAGGTGCCAATAATGGTGCTACACGGCCATGTGCAACAGTATCGTTCGTACGGACTCAACGACCGTGCGGATCTCCCGCTCAACCATGCCGTGAATCGAGTGTGGCGGTCCTTCAGCAGGAGGAAGTACAAGCTGTCCTCCTGGCAGCAACCTAGAATGGCCCACACAAGTCAATATGCACGACAGCCAACGCCTCCTTGACGTCCGAGCCTTTGTCTGGGAAGGTATGTCGCGCCAGCTTCAAACGACAAGTCGGCCCCAGTCGACGGCTTGATGTCGAGGCCGGTGGCGATGTCGTACCTGGAACGTAGAGCACGTCGGAGATGAGAGCCAACTTCCCGACCTCACCTTACAGAGCGACAGTGCCGCGGGCCCTCGACTGCCTGCAACGCTCTGTTAAAGCCATGCACAATCTTATAGTCATCGCTCGGCGCCATTTCGACGAAGACCTCCTTTGTCCCGATCAGGTGGTGTGAGCAAGCACTGTCGAGAAGCACCACCATTGGGTTTGCCTGCTCGGCGGCCGCGACCGCCTTGAAGTCCTCGCCAGCTTCTGGCGCCAGCGAGACTGTTGGCTCTACTACGCTGACCATCGAGCACAACACCTCCCTGTCGCCTCGGCCCTTGCCACTGGAATTGTCGACATCGTTCAAAGACAACGACTTCTTCGACGTCTGCTTCTCCTTGCGCGGCTTCTCATCTTGACAAGAGTGGCGACTGGCCGACCGTCCGCGGCCTCCCTTGTTGTCGTCCTCGTCGCTGTCGTCGCGGTTGGGGCACTCGAAGGATAGATGGTCGGGGTCGCTCCAGATCCAGCACTCCCACCGTTGACCACCACCTCCACAACCCTTGTTACGCATCGACTTCGCCTGGTCAACATCCTTCGTCGACCGTGCGGAGATAACTCAATCAACGGGAGCTAGACTACGGGCTAGGCATGGGGCTAGAGTGATCTATGCATTCGTTCGTTATTCGTTTCCAAATGCTCACACTACTTACTAGTAAATAGGGAGAATTGGCAAGAGTTTCACCAGGAAAACATGACAACAATAGTCGATACAACATTGGCAACACAGACTACTTCAAAATGAGCATGCTAGTCAGTCGACTTCTAGCGCAGCACGGTCGACCGCGTGCCAGCACGACTTGGTCGACCGCGCTCCAGCAGAGCAAAGTCGTGGCTTGCCAACGTTGCAAGTCCATGGTGTGCCAACGCTACAGCAAGTCGGTTGCACAGCCTTGCACCCGCAAGACAATGGTGCACTTGCTTCGCAGGTGTGTGTAACTGGTTGGTGCGCCACTCCTTGTCACGTGCACAGCGCAGACGCCCGGCAGAGTCCACGGCAGCGACTGCGCCCACTAGCCACATCAACCTCGGGATACCACCCCCGTGGTTGACCTCGCAGAAGCTACCCCGGCGACCTTCGCACACGTCGCCCGGGTATCCCGGTCGGCCAGGCAACCATGCCTGGTCGACCAGCTCAGTCCGTCGCCGAACACCCGTGACCAGCGTCCCCAATGTCAGCTCCAGCTGGTCGACGCCTGACGTCCTCCCAGGTCGACCCACTGGCCCGGCGCCATCTTGCTCGGCGCCCTGCTCCTCAGCGCCCAGCTCCTCTGTCTAGGTCGATGTCGGCACCCCGTTCGTCGACCACCAGAACTCGGCGCCCAAAACTCGGCGCCCCTTGGAGTGTCCCCCGTGTACATCGACCAGCCCCGTCGACCAGCTCTTCCCACTGATGCAGGTCGGCTACACTCCCTACACACCCAACCACGAGGTCGGCTCCGCCCAAGCAAGGACGGGGCCAACCATAACTCCCGTTGACACTCCCCTGCCGCGTTTATGCTTGGGCCCCTAGCCCACACGGCAGTACCACTCAGAGAATAGCTCGTCGACGTGCACCTAACATACAGCACGCCGGTCACCGCACCAGCCATGCAAGAGGTAATGGCACCTACTGCTGCACGTCGTTGTCGCCATCGCCCACATCGGTCGCACTCGGCCGATTGCAACGGAGCACCGGTTGAAGGCCAGAAAGTGCAGCACCTTCGTCAGGAACTTGGCTGGCTGCTCGGCGGTCGGGATGTACTTCAGCGAAAACTTCCCACGCTTCACCATGTGCTGCAGCCAGGCCTGTCGCCGCTCCATCTGCTTGAGGTTGCCCGTCAACCTCATGCCCTCGGCGACTGTTGTCCACCCGAAGGACAGTCGGCGTCCCAGCGTCCAGCTTCTGGAACTCTGCAAGGAGGAAGCGAAGGCGACGTCATTCCTTGCCGGCTTTGGTTGCCGCCATGTACTTAGACTCGGTCAACGACAGCGTTGCGCACTTGATGCGCTGGCTCGACCAGAGATCGCGGCCCCTCCGTAGACAAACACGAAGCCGCCCGTGCTCGTCCGGTTCTACTTGTCACCGGCGTCGTCGGCGTCCACGCTTTAGCGACTCTGGTCCACCGTCGAGCTCCAAGGCAGTGTCACGCGTGTTGGCAGCGGTCGACCTCGCGCCAGTGCTGGTCGCTCCTCACCGTAAGGCCGCTCCCCAACTTGCTGTAGGCGTAGGCAATGTCCGGCCTCGTCGTCGTCGCCACAAACTGCAGCGAGCCGACCTTCTACTGGTACTCCTCCTCCTGGCGCTCCTGTGCCTCCTCGTCGTCGAAGGTGAGCTCGCCATAGGCGTTAACCGAGACCGGCGTCTTTGGGGTGCACTCCGTCTGCTCCTCGTCGAGATACCGCCTACGCAGCTTGTCGGCATAGCCCTGCTGGTGCAGCAACAGCTTCCTCGCCGGCCTGTTGCGCATAATCTCCAGCCTGAAGTACTTTTGCATCGGCGAGATCTCGCGTAGCTCGAAGGCGGCCTCCAGCAGCTCCTTCAGCATCTCGGCACTACTGCCAGCAGCGAGCAGGTCGTCAACGTAGACCAGCACCTAGCAGGCCACGCCATCTTTGCCGACCGTGAAGGTAGCCAGGTGACGACCCGTCTGAGCATACGTGCAATGTGTCACACGCTCGTAGGCTGGGGTGAACTGGTGAACACCCGCAACCTGGAGCGCAGAACCCGCCACCAAGTTCGTAGAGAACGAGGGGAGGTAAAGACCCGACAGTGTGCCGGACGGGACAGCAGGACAAGGGAGGACAGTGGTGGAGGTCGCACGGACTGGACCCCCAGAGGGGTCTGCCAGGGAGACTGCAACCGGCCGACTGAGCGGCGTGAGGGTGGTGCTGTCGCGAAAGAAGGAGCGAGAAGCACCAGAGTCAAGTGCGAAGGTGTACAAGGCCTCAGCAGGCGCAGTACTAGAGAGAGCAGACTCACCAGCACCTGGAGCAGCAGCCTCACCAGCACCCAGAGCAGGAGACGCACTAGCACCTAGAGCAGCAGCCTCACCAGCACCTAGAGCAGGCGACGCACGAGCACCTAGATCAGCAGCCTCACCAGCACCGAGAGCAGCAGGCTCTATACCTGGGTCAGGCGGTACGCACAGGTAACAGGCACGGTCAGCACTAGTAGGCAATGCATACATGGCAGTGAGAATAGCATCATAGTCAAGAGCAAATATATCTACCCTCTGCCCAAGCAGCTCCACCCAGTCGGGGAGCTCAGCCTCGTCGCCAAACTTGGTACGCCAGGCGTCGCTCAGACGGGCGAAGCAGCGGGACTGTGTGTGACTAAGCGTCCCGCAAGCCTGACCAGTCCGATCACCTGTGCGAATGACGTACGGGCAGCGAACGGTACTCAAAGACCCTCTACTCTGAGCGTACCACTCACGAAGGGCGACAGCCACGACGGCTACCGACACAACCCCAACTAGCGTACCACTCACGAAGCTGCTGGGGCGTGAGAGACTCGCGCGGACGTCGCTGGAGCTGCATCTGGCCACCGCCAGTAGCAGCAGTAGCAGTGGTAGTGGCAGTGGCATTAGTAGCAGCAGCAGCGCGGGCAGGGCAGGCGCGGCAGGCAGGTAGGCAGGCAGGCAGGCAGGCAGACAGGCAGGCAGGCAGGCAGGCTGGCAGGCACGCAGTGCAACAAGGCAGGTGCTCACCAGTGGCGGGAAGAGCAGGCGCTCGCCGGGCGAGCAGGGCCGGCGCTCAGCGGGCGGCTGCACGGGGTCCAGGGGCGGCGTCGCGGGTCCAGGGGCGGCGTCGCGGGGTCCAAGGGCGGCTGCACGGAGTCCAGGGGCGGCTGCACCAGGGGCGGCTGCTTCAGGGGCCAGGGGCGGCTGCTCTGGGTCCAGGGGCGGTTGCTCGAGGGTCCAGGGGCGGCTGCACCAGGGGCGGCTGCTGCAAGGGCCAGGGGCGGCTGCTCAGGGTCCAGGGGCAGCTGCTCGAGGGTCCAGGGGTGGCTGGACCAGGGGCGGCTGCTGTAGGAGCCAGGGGCGGCTGCTCTGGGTCCAGGGGCGGCTGCTCGAGGGTCCAGGGGCGGCTGCACCAGGGCGCGTCGACTGCAGGGCGCGGCCGCGTCAGAGGCAGGGCGTGGCCGTGTCAGAGGCAGGGCGGGGCCGCGTCGGCTGCAAGGCGCGGCCGCATCAGAGGCAGGGCGCGGCCGCGTCGAAGGCAGGGCGCGGCCGCGTCAGAGGTTGGGCGTGGCCGCGTCAGAGGCAGGGCGGGGCCGCGTCGGCTGCAGGGTGCGGCCGCGTCGGCTGTAGGGCGCGGCCGCGTCGAAGGCAGGGCGCGGCCGCGTCAGAGGCTGGGCGTGGCCGCGTCAGAGGCAGGGCGGGGCCGCGTCGGTCGCAGGGCGCGGCCGCGTCGAAGGCAGGGCGCGGCCGCGTCGAAGGTAGGGCGCGGCCGCGTCAGAGGCTGGGCACGGCCGCCTCAGAGGCAGTGC